GGCATTAATCACAAAAAAATTACAAGAGAATTGCAGATTCGGTTTGATTGAGTCTGCACATGAGGGATAATGAAAATTACTATAAGTCAGAAATTTTATTTCTGTCTAAATATATCATGCTAATTCCGTAGTGATGATTAAATTTATTTATGTCACCAAAAATAAGATGCAATTTGCCGCATTTAATTTTGATTAAAAGAAAACACTTATTTTTCTCTTGATTTCTCATTGTAGGTCGGCAATGAAGACAGTTGGAGCACAGTTGCGGTTCGTAAATTATAAGAATTGTTTAAACACGATTTTGTTAAAATCTTTTTTTTTATGTAGAGCATTTTCAAAATTTACGAAAATTGTCTCATTGAAACACTACAATCTATATAAAACAAAAACGGCCCCGGTCCAGCCTTTTGACAGTCGAAAAATTTGCCAAAAATGTACGCACAGTTATATTACTTTACAGAGGCAAGTTTTGTGAAAAATACAAAATGAGATATCATTGTTATGTGATGAGTTTGAAAAATGTTGTACTTAACAAAGTTATGAAATACATATATAAAGAAACACCTTGACCTGGAACCAAAGGACCCCATACTCCGCCCAAACTTAAATGACCACCTGGTAAATTTTAAAATCATTCAATGCATGGCAAAGTTACAATCCTGACACACATGTTTACCTTCAACCTTTAAGTGTGACCTATATCTTTTAGACATTGCCATTGTCCTAAGACGAGATACGTATACGTTGTCTTATTATGGTGGACATTTGTGGAAATTCAATTTCCAAACTAAACGTGATTTTAACCTTGGAGATAGGGACATGGATGTTTAACGCGACACATTATCTTGATATGGTAGTCATATATGCTATGTTATTTAAGAATCATTCAATGTATAACAAAGTTTCCGTCTAGACACGACTGCGTGTACCTTTTAACTCCTATGATGAGAATGTGAACTTTCAAACTGTAGCGGAGACCTTAACATTTCAGGTAGGGACGAGGCACATCATCTTGATATGGTAGACATTTATGCCTAGACATTTTTAATCTTTTAATGGTTTACAAAATAACAGTCCGGACAAAACTCGGGACGCACACAAAGACGGACAGACGGATGGAGCAATTTTGATATGCAACCCTTCGAGGGCATACAAAAAAAAAACATTTCAAAGATTGGTTATGAAACGCATCAACATCACTTGCCTGTTAATTTGTGGCTGTTTCTAAAGTCTCAGGTTTTTATTTGACACCTGCGTCTTTTAGTTTAGAATTTTTACAGTGTGCAACATGTGTACAAGGTGTCCCGCTGTAACACTCCAATTGAATGTGGAGGCATCTATATCATCTAGACACATTTCTAGTGCTATTTTTATTTCAATAGCATCCTTATGTGCAATCTTTTTACCGGTGTTTAATATGTGAAACTAAAACTACTGCTGATAACACAATATGTCAAAGAAAATACGAATACCGCACGAAAACTAGTTTAAGGTGACATAAAATGAGTATGCAGAAAAAGTAAAGATTTGAATGTCGGAAAGAATAAATGAGGTTGTCGTTACGTTGGTAGGGTTATTTTGTCTCTGATACTAATGCTAATTTATTTCGGATTGCTTAATTTGTCAGACATCTATTGTATCTGTTTTAAATTTGATGGATTCACTATAGTTTTGAATTGTTGGCATAACTATCACATAATGAAAACATTCCAACCATTCAGGAAGGCGTATAGTAAACTGTGTTTGTTCGTCTGTCTGCGTAGCAAAATATTTAACTTGGAGGTCTGGTTTTATCTAAGAAATAACATTATGGAAACGTTATAATATTGATTTTATGTTACAAATGCCACAACACAAAAGGCACGACAGCTTTACTCATTAAAGAATGAACAAGTTGCGCGAAATTGTAAATGTATCTGGTAAATATTATGCAAACTTAATTATTTTTCAGCTCAAAGATGGGGAAAACTACAACGTTTGTAAGTATCTAACTACTGTTGCCTTTCTTACATTCAACTATTGAAAGTTTATTTATCGAAGATAATGATTATATCTTTGATCAACATCTCTTCCTAAAACATTTGGTCAGTTCTGTCACAACTCATATGGTTGTGCAGAGATATTTGGTATGTTGATCACAACGTTCAAATTTTATGTAATCTAAACTACGAAAATTGTTCAGGTTATGAACTTAAGTCATAAGATACTCTTTTAATGGTTGTCATGCTAAAAAGGCCAATAACCTCTTTGGGAAAATACCTGCTCACGGAGCATGAGCTGTACAATATTTAAATAACCTTTTGAGACCCCTTCAATTAAGCGATTACATTCAAGGAAGAGTTACTTCCCTTACCTGATGTTATGTAAGTGGGGCATTATTCTATAATCTATACAGACCGCTTCGAATGTTAGCACATCGAAAGTTTCATTATCAGTGTAAATACGGGGCCCTCAAACTGCATAGGTGCATTGGTCTTGGCTAGAAGCTGGCCCTATTGATTTTTGGGTCAAAAGTTAAAGGTCAAGATCATATTGACATTGTATTTCAAAACGGTTCCCTATCAATAACTTGACATCCTATCCGCTGTTGGCCCTAAACTTCGTAGGTGCATTGCTCCTGGCAAGTAGGTGACTCTTATTGATTTCGGGCTCCAGGGGTCAAAGGTCGAGATCATATTGACAATGTAGGTAACAGTTCTGTATTAAATTAATAACTCAACAACCCATAGGACTTGGACAATTAAACTTCACAGATGAATTTGTCTTTGCCTGTAGATGAACCCTGTTGATAGTCAAAGGGTCAAAGGTTTAGGTCATATTGACCGTGTAGGTAAAAACTGTCTCCGACCAAAAACCCAACACATTAAGTTGGCTTGGCTGTTATTTTTTGTTTAACTAAAACTTCATTTGGAATAAACATTTCAAAGTCTAATGTACTTTCACAAATATGCTGTCATTAAAGCGGCCTAACTGATTCATAAAATGTATGCATATATATGTGGTAAGATTTATTATAACTTTGTCATAAAATTGATGCACAAAACCTTTACGGTGACAATGACCTAGTGACTAGTCATGACCAGAAGATATACCCTATTGATTATTTGGTCACTAAGTCAAAAGTCAGCAACAATTACCTGGTCTCATGACTGATTGGTTGCCGATACATATATTTGACAAACTTATATTGTTTTTAACCGGACACTTTGGTAAGAACACATCAAAGAAAGACTTCGATTTGTGGGACGAATACCATATGTACAGACAGAAAATGCAACATAGATATGTTATTTAGAGAAATTGAAGCATGAAAGATAGAAAATTGATAAAGAATGTTTAAACATTGAATTAGTTTAATGAAACAAAACAATATGTTGTCCTATTAATCCTATCATTTTCTTACACCTCTTAAAATTCTTGTATTTTCTATTCAACAATGAGTGAATTATAAAATAAACAATAATTCATAAAAATTAATATGATCATAATTAATTTTGGAATTGTGATAAATGTTAAGTTATTTCATCCACTTAAACTGCATGTTGTTACACTATTATAATTGGGAAAGGTTTCGATAGTATATTTCTAATAAACAAACGGTTGTGTTCTGTAATGTGGATCAACGAACAGCAATCCATTACTGAATCGTAAGACATAAATGGAAGTAACGTATGGGACAGCTTTGAAAACTAGCTTTTTTTGGTCATGAAATTCTGTCTTTGATTATAAAATAATATTTCAATTAACAATCGAAACTAATACTTAAAATACATTTATGACAGAATCATGTGATATACTAGGATAAAAGATAATGTCAAAGTTTCAACTGACTAATATTGAAGTATGAAAAGAAATTATATTTTATCTATTTATAGCGGCCATATTGGAAACAATATTGATTTTCTCAAACGCAAATTTAATTGCGTCTATTACCTTTGGTATACTTAGATGTTCCTCTTAAATATTCTGCACAATGCCGAGACACTTTATGCTAAGAGTAGCTCCTTAGATAAAAAACAACTACTCTGTATATTAATGTATTTTAGTTGAGATAATATTTATTACTGTTAAGAAATTGTGCACACTATGTCTCATTTGCCTATGAAGTTGAATGAAATTAATCTTCTTTTTTTTTTGGCTAATTATAGCAGTAACTGGCACGGTTAGAAAACATAACACACTAGCAATGAACAAATATAGTAACTTGGGCAGAGTACCCAAAATAGAAAATAAATTCTCAGAAAGGCTTTTTGAGGTTTAATATAGGCAACTGCCTAGGACCTTTCATTTTATGTCAGTCTTCGTAATTAAAGCATTCAGCATTCGTAATAAAAATCGCAACTTGATATTCGATTTCACGATATTTTCCGATATAAGCTAATTTTACATATTTTCGTGTAGTTAGAAGGGATGTCAGAATCGGTTTAAGTGAGCAATCTGTTCCTGAAGCGTTTGTAAAAAACCCTTTACATTATGACATGTATCGTGTGGCTCTCTCTAGAGGATTTGAAACTGACAAAGCTATAAGAGTGAACGTAGTTGGTAACTTTAAACAAGGCAAAACGTCATTGACAAAAATACTCGTTGGAAAGACAAATGAAAATGTTCAGAGTACGAATGGAGTCGAAATTAATCACTGCAAATATGTTGAGGTTAATAATGATGTAATGCTCCTCGAAAAGACATTCAAACTTGGTGAAACTGAAATTATTGATCGTATTGCTGAAGTCGCAAAGAGTCAGGAGCACTTTTTTAGTGAAAATGAAAACAACCCCACTGAAACATCCGAGTATAGACGATCTTTAGAGCTAAACATAGCGTCATTAATTCCAGAACGTTTAGAACATTATGCTGAATCGCTCGATGATATTCATCCTGAATACAAACCATCTTTTGTAAATACAGAAGCTCACAACATCACACATGAGGCTAACAAAAAACAAAAGAAAAGAAAGAAACTCTTCAATAAAAAAGCAAATGTATTTCTCACACCGGAAGAAATGCAGGCATTCTCGGATCGCCTTACATCTGACCAATCTTTGTCAAATATTGCTGGAAATCTTGAAATATGGGACTTTGCTGGCCAGTTTGTCTTCTATGCTACTCATACATTATTTCACAGCAAGCGCGCTGTATACCTTTTGGTGTTTGATTTATCAACACCATTGTCATCAGTCGTTACAGATTCTGAATTTCCAATGGAAACAGGCGATAAAACGATGGAACAATTCATAAAGTTTTGGATAAACTCTATTCATTCATATGTTGGGTCAAGCGACGGTTCAGAACCTCCTGTTATTCTTGTTGGAACGCATAAAGATAAATTAGTCGGGACTGAAAAACAAAAATTAGAATATGCAGATGCATACTTTGAAAGAATAAGAACATTTTTTGAGGACTCACAAATTCTCAATCATATTCAAGCAAATGATTTTATAGTCAATAGCGTTGACTTCAACGACAAGGAAATCGTTGAGCTTCGAAAGGAAATCATACGTATTGGTATGAAACATTCTAAAATAAAAATTCCGGCAAAGTGGATAGCCCTTGAAAAAGAATTAATTCAGATAAGATACATGAAGATAATTCCATTTAGCAAAGTGGTGGAAATTGATTCAGAAAATGAATTCCCACTAAAGGGAGAAGAGGAAATCAAACTGTTCCTTATTTATCACCACTCGAAAGGAACACTATCTTTCTTTGACGAAGAACCAATATCAGCATATGTAGTACTTGATACGCAGTTTCTCATTGATGCGTTCAAATGCATTGTAACGTCAGAAAGATTTTGCAAAAAGGAGTCAAAGCATCGCCACCTCTGGAATCTTTTACGGAAACAAGGGAAGTTGAATATGGAGCTTATTCACAGAGTTTGGGAGTCAAACTATTATTTTCTCAAACATAAGAAAGAAATTCTGATGTTTATGCAAAGGCATTATATCATATCTGAAGTTTCAAGTTTTGATGAACACACGGGAACATCAAAAGGACTCGATTGGTTTATTGTACCTAATTTCTTACGTAACCACAGTGATAACAACACAATTACAGAGTTCTTTAAAGGAAAAAGACAAACATCTTTAAGGTTTCTGATGTTGTTTGAGTATACTCCCGTTGTGCAAATTGTATATTGTCGTCTTATTGCAGCTCTGGTAGCAAGGTGGTCAGTTGTTCAAATAGGCGTATTGAAACAAGGAAAGGAGTTCTTATTGTACGAAAACTTAGGAGTATTTAGGTTGGACACTCTAAATGCTGGAGTTGTTGAATTACAACAGAACAGAATTGAAATGCGTGTTATTAGCCTTTGCACATCTCAAAATGTAAACAGCATTACAGCAGACAAGTTCAGACGCTTTGCAGAGTTATTGGTCATCAGCGAATTCAATAAACTGCGTCATTTACCCACAATTCAAGGAAAACCTTTCAAGCCATGTTTTAGATGCAACAATGAAAGCCATGGTCTAAATGGAGGTCAAGGAATCTTGCATTTGGAAACCCTTAAAGGTAAAAGCATTGAACCCTGCCTTGATATGCCAATCAATCACGAAATTCACACACAACAGGCACTTTCCGAATGGTTTGAAGAAATCTCAAAGATACGACTTGCAGAAGACTGTCAGTTTAATGAGAAACAATTGAGCAAAATAGCACAATCAATTGGTAACAACTGGGAACTCCTTGGGAGTGAACTTGGTTTAAGCATTGTCGAAATCGAAAAAATATCAATGGACAATGACACTAGCAGTGTCAGGATCTACAAAATGTTATTGAGGTGGAAAGCTGAGGAGCAAGAAAATGCCACTGTCAATACTCTTTTACAAGCTATGAAATCAACGAAGTCACTTACCGTTGAATGGGATGAGGTGATGAACATTGTTGAGCAAATAGCATCCACACAAGAGAAATAATCACACATGTTAAAATGTATGTAACATATTTTGTTTATAGTATTTCAATAACTACCTTCCATTCCGATCTATATCTGAGTAACATATCGCTCAAGAGTGTATATAAATGTTGTAGGTTTCTTTGGAAACAGAAACAAAAAATACTTTCGTGTAAATGATATATCTATTATAGCTGCTACTGATTAAAAATCTGGAAACAAAGTGATCCCTCGTAAGCATTTATCGCAACAAAATTACAAGATCATTGCAGACTCTGTTTGATTGAGTCTGTACATGAGGAATAATGAAACCGTTTGTTATCTCATTCATCCTAAGTTTTAGAGCTTTTTTTGATCGACATTTCTTTCTTGTGTGTTTCTATACTACCCATAATAGCGCTAACAAATTAAATAATCTATTGTCATTTATTTCTGCTTTAGGGGCCTACCTTTCTATGTGATTCAAGAAAAATAAATAGAAATCAACATGCTTAACCGATGTTTTGCTTCAAGAAGACTTTTTCATATACCACGAAGCTGATACAACTGTAGGTTACTTTCTTATAAAAAACCATTTAAGACAACAACAGAAAGTATGAACTCTAACAATATTTGCAACAATCAAATTGAATGTGATATATTTATAATGTTTCCTTTGTCTTTTGTTTTGACAAATTTGAATACTATCTTTGAAACTTTATTTCGTTATTATCTAATAAGAACGTATATGTTTTATGAACATGTGTAGTAAGCACTCATGTCGTCACAAAAAATCCTTGTTGAATGAGCATATATTCTTTATATACAGACACAAATAAATGTTAATTTGTATTTTGTATATAAAGGAAGGACAAATGCGTATTTATGTTGCTGTTATTATGTGACGTAAATTATTATTCTGACAACAGGATTTACCTATTAACCCACTATAGAAAATGCTTCTAATCTAAATAATTATTGTTATCATTAAAATCAGGCAGATAAACCGGATTTAAATTTTATTCCGTTTCTTTTTACTGTATCATCATCAGGATGAAAAATGAACACACGATTATTACTGGCTCATACAATTATTGCATTTGAAAGCTGGTTAGTGGATCAACCACCAAGACATAACCTATACAAATGTGTTAAAATCAGCGAAAAAAACGCACAAAACAAAACAAACAAAAAACGAAACATAAACTTATTAATATTTGTCATTACATCAAAGTTTTCTTTCAAATTGTCTTACATAAAATCAAACGAGTAAACTAAAACAAGCAATAATGAATACAGTTCTAACTATAATATTAGTTTGCTTGAAAAGAACTTATGCAATTGAAATCATAGATAATGTTTTTTATATATCAAAATAACCTGGGATATTGCTTGAAACTGTCATATGTACAATTTGTATGTTAACGGATTTTCTGTAATTTACCTCCTCTTTGAGTAATTATTCAAGCTCATTCTTTTGAATAATTATGCCCCTTCCCTTCAAAAAAGTGGGGTATATTACTTTGCATGTGTCTGTCGGTCGGTCCGTCGGTCCGTAGACAAAATGGTTTCCGAGTGATAACTAAAAGAACGCTTAAGCCAAGGAACTTCAAACTTGGTATGATGATTGTTCATGACAAGTAGATGACCCCTATTGATTTTAGGGACAAAGCGTCAAAAGTCAAGGTCACATTGACCTTGCAGGTAAAAACGGTTTCCGAGTGATAACTAAAAAACGTTTAAGGGCTAGGAACTCCAAACTTGGTAGGATGATCGTTTATGGCCAGAAGATGACCCCTATAGATTTTGGGGTCAAAGGTCAAGGTGACATTGACCTTGTAGGTAAAAACGGTTCCGAGTGATAACTAAAGAATGCTTAGGCCTAGGAACTGCAAACTTAGTATGATAATTATTCATGACCAGTAGATGACCTACATTGAATTTTTGGTCAAAGGGTCAAAGGTCAAGGTCATATTGACCTTGTAGGTAAAAACAGTTTCCGAGTGATAACTAAAGAATGCTTAGGCCTAGAAACTTAAAACTTTGTATGATGATTGCTAATGTCCAGCAGATGACCTCTTTTGATTTTGGGGTCAAGGGGTCAAAAGTCAATGTCACATTTATCTTGTAGGTTAAAACGGTTTCAGATCAATAACTAAAGAATGCTTGGGCCTATTAACTTAAAACTCTGTCTGATGACTGTTTTTGACCAGCAGATGACCCATGTTGATTTTGGGGTCAAGGGGTTAAAGGTCAGGGTCATATTTACCTTGAAGGTAAAAACGGTTTCAGAGTGATATTTAAGGAATATTTAGGCCTAGGAACTTCAAACTTGGTATGATGATTGTTCATGACCAGCAGATGACTTCTATTGATTTTAGGGTCAAGGGGTCAAAGATCAAGGTTGCATTTACCTTGTACGTAAAAACGGTTTCCGCTCAATAACTAAAGAACGCTTGGGCCTAGGAACTTCAAAATTGGTATGATGATTGTTCATGACCAGCAGATGACCCCTTTTGATATGGGGTCAAAGGGTCAAAGGTCAAGGTGACATTGACCATGGCGGTAAAAACATTTTCCAATCAATAACTTGACATCCCATTGGCTGTTGGCCCTCAAACTTGGTAGGTGCATTGGACTTGACCAGTAGATGACCCCTAAAGATTTTGGGATCAGAGGAACAAAGGTCAAGGTTTCATAGGTCTTGTATTTCAAAATGGTTTTCTATCAATAACTGGACAACCCATAGACCTTCAAGTTTTACAGATTTATTGCTTTTGGTCATATGATGACCTCAATGGATTTTTTGGCATTAAGGGTTCAAAGGTCAAGATCACATTGAAATCTAAACCGATACTTCTCGGGGCATGGTACCATTTACAAAAAGTTCGTATGAAATTTATTACTGTAAACTATACTTATAGCCAACTCACATTCAAAATATGGTCATTATATCAGACGTTTCTTGTAAGCATATTACAGATTAAATCCTTATAGCAGAAACATACGAGGGTTGTTCGGAAAGTTTTGAGACTGGGTCAATATTTAGCGTTGGAAAAGATAAAATCAAACAAGAGTTTACTATGTATTACTTTAATACCTAATCTATTATAGTGTAAAATTTCATAACAATAGCTTCATGTATACAAAAGCTACAAAGCGTTAGGCACAGACACTACCGGTGACCCGGCGCACGCAACGACGTTATCCGACGTTGTCGTTATTTCCAGAGTTTAACGTCACCGTAGAAAAGTCAACTGCTACTCCTTTTCAAAGTATCTTCCTTCACAACGTACACATTTCTCATGCCTCGTTACCCACTTGGCGAATACATTTCTATACCAGTCAGATTTAAATGTTGCAATAATGCTCATAAGTCTAGAGCGCAGTTCAACTAGGTCCTCAAACAGGATTCCTCGTAGTTCGGATTTGATGGCCTGAAAAACGGAAAAGTCCATTGGGGCCAGGTCGGGTGAGTAGGGTGGGTGAGCGATGCGGTTAAACCCGACAACATCAAGTTCCAGAGAAGTGGCAGATGCTGTATGCGCAGGCGCATTGTCTTGATGTAGGTAGATGTTCTCCAGATTCGCAACTTCTCTTACTGTTATGCGACGGTCGCACTGAAGCGCGTTTCTTGCAAGTGTCAGTTTATCGTCGATGACGGATGGGCGACCGCTCCTTTCCTTGTCTTTTGTTGACTTTCTGCCATCCCGAAACTCTTTATGCCATCTAAATACCAATGGTCGACTAACAGTACGTCCGTTGTTTGCCTGTTCTAGAAGTTGCTTAGTTTCTGTTGGCGTTTTCCCAAGATTAACGCAAAACTTAATAAAAACACGCTGTTCCTCTTTTGACGGTGTTTCCATAGTCGTTGTCTTGTCGCGCACGTATTGCTATAATGATCTGCGGTAACGGCTTAAACAACTAGCGGAAATGACGTCCTTAAGTTGGAAGTGACGTCATAAAATTTTCGTGACGTTTGGCGCAATTTTAGGGGCTCTTTTTATTCAGTAAGAAAACTTATAACAAGAAAATAGTCCGTGCGCCAGGATGCGTAGACAGGTGTTGCTATGGAAACGATAATATGCCGTATAGTAACGTTACAACGTTTTAAAGACATAACTCGGATAAATAACATATTAAGCTATAATTTGTTTTAAATAATATTCGCAGCTGTAATTAGAAACAGAGAAAATCATATTGTCTCAACACTTTCCGTACAACCCTCGTATATAGGGAACCAAATCATTTATAACGGACTTAATGTCACCAATTATCTCCTATTTCTGATTAAGATATATTTTCTTACATAGAGCAAATACATATTACATAATTGGACTACTGCCATTAAATGACCAACATGATGTACAAAATGTATTCATAAAACAAAGCCACTTAAAATGAAAAGTTATACCTTTGAATTACTAATAAAATGGGTTAAAGAATTAAAAATGTTTATACATAGAAAATAAAAGTGTTCCCAATTTTTCAAATATACCCCTTTGGATTAATCATCCCTTTTCTAACTTTTTCATTGTTTTTTTAAGGAAAAACAAGGGAAGTAAATTTATAAACTGGAAAAATACCTAAAATAAAGATTTTTTTGCTTATTAAGTTTTAAAAAACCTTTTTTTGAACACATTCGGTTTTAAAAATTTGGGAAGAAATTTAGTCCAAAAAAAAGGGTTTTTTAAAACTTTTAAAACGGAAACCTTTTACCTTTTTTAATTTACTTTTCCCGCGTAACCTGCCCCCAATTTAAATCGATAACGCTCCGCCCCTGTTGAGGCATCAATGAGGGAAATCGGTAGTTCCATATATCCGTGAATTACCGGTCCATACTGCTCGTAATTCATGTATCGTACCTGGGACATACGATATATATATATCCCAGATCGTACAAATACCGTACATCATTTATGAATATCGTCTACCTTTTATTTGTCATTTTTTATAAAATAAGAAATTGTCGGCCAATGTACGTAACATAATGTATGAAACATAAATAATTAAGCATAGCGGCAAATCGCACGACCACGGGGT